TGAATTCTATTTGTTCTGTTGTTCATCTGTCGATCACAAAACATCCAAAATAAAGGGCAGTAGCTAAATTGTGATAAAATGAAGACGTGCATGGTCTGTTTTACTTTTCTATCATCCATGTAGTTGGACATTCGGGATAAAGCATGTAGCTTATGGCTGGCCTTTTTGCATATCGATTGTACGTGTCCTTTGAACGACAAATTATTATCAATACTTATTCCAAGAACTTTTTGTTCTTTACTTGGTTTAATTATCTTTTTATCTATTTTCAGGGATGCTGCCTTTACCGAAATTTATAAGGTGGCATTTGTCCCCATTCATTTTCATATAATTATTTTGAAACCATTCTCTCAAAATAACTACGTCTTGTTATAGTATTTTAATAGCCTGCTTAATGTCTTGGTGGATGACATAAAGCGTTGTGTCATCAGCATAATTGCATATTTGGCTATTTGATATGAACATAAACATGTCATTTATGTATATATTGAACAAGAGAGGTCCCAAAAATGATCCTTGTGGCACACCTACACTTGTGGTTTTCCATTCACTGAAAGAGCCGTTTATTTTGACTCTTTGATTCCTCTGTCTAAGGTACGATAATGTGAAATTCAAGGCGCTTCTACTAAAACAATAAGCATTGAATTTAGCAATCATTAGGTCATGATTCAGACAGTCAAATGCTTTTGACAGATCCATCAATAGTGCACTGGCTGTTTGTTTAGTATCTAGAGCTTTTTTGCAATTTTCTATGAGTCTGAGTAATGTATGTTGGGTGCTATAATTCCTTCTGAAACCACATAGCAGTGGTGATAGAAAACCACGAGCGAAGGGAGTAATTTCTGATTCCATGATTCTCTCATATATTTTTGATGCTGACGGTAAGGTAGCAATTGGTCTATAATTTTCTTACTGAATTTATCATCTTTTTTATGCAACGATGATATGTCTCCTAATTTGAGTTCTTTTGGAAATTTCATATTAGATAGGTCCTCATTAATTGTTATTTGTAAAATTTCAAAGAAAATGTCTGAATATTCTTTAAATATCCTAGCAGGTATACTTTATATTGGTAGGGCCTTTCTGGTATTAAGTTTGTTTATCTAATCCCAAATTTCTCCACTGTTAACATCCCTAAATTCAAAGTGCTGTGGGTCAGGGTACATTTCTCTTATTTTTATGATACTTGGGTAGTTTTTATATTTCTAAATGGCTTTATCAATTGGGTCATTTATATAATCTGTAACTGATATGTGAGCTATATCTTGTTGAATTCCTAGATCTTGTGTTATGTTTATAAAGTAGTTGTTAAATAATTCTGCAATCTTGCAGTCATCACTAATTAATTCTCCATTTTCTTCCAATGTAATGGAGGGTGTTGTTTTCATCTTTTCTGCAAAGACCGGTTTTATCGCTCTCCAGAATTTGTGGTTATCTGTAAGATTACTTAAGTCTAGGTTCCTAAAATAACTGCTTTTAGCATTACGTAATAACTTTACACATTTGTTCTTTTGCCATTTATATGCTTTATGATTTTCCTCATTTTTGTTATTAGTATATCTATTTTTGAATTTGCCACGATGCATTATTGCCTTACGTAATTCTTTCGTCATAAATGGCCCGTCGTTTGCACGAACATACTTTCTCCTAATGGGGGCATGTTTATTAAGAAGACTTTTGACTGAGATATCAACACTTCCGTAGTCTCTAAAGTTTAGTATTCGATGATTCAAAATTTCAGATCTAAAGCTCGGAATATTGAATTTTTTGTAGTCTCTATATGTAAGTATTTTGGGACCTCTCTTGGTGAAATCACCTTTGAGTATGCTCAATTTCATTACGTGGAAGTCAGACTACCCTGTTTCAACATTAGTCGTGTTTTGAAAGTGACTTTTACAGTTTGTCAAATCTATACATCGTGGCGTGGGTTGTCTGACTTGTGACAGGTTGGATTCTTGATCAAGTTAACTAATTTATAAGTGTCCATGAAAGCCTTAATTGCGCTGTCACCCACTTCGCAATTGAAATCGCCCATAACGATAAGATCTTCAAATTTGTTGCTGAAGAAATCGATTCCTTTTTCGATCTCTTCAAAGAAATAGCTTGGGCATTGGGAGGGTGGGCGATATATGCTAAGTAGTAGCCATTTCTTTGTTCTAAGTTTTATTTCGGTGGTGCATATTTCAATGTCATTAGGAAATTTGTAATTTGTTAGCTCTTTAACAAGGATCCCTTCCCTTGCATAGGTAAGAAGGCCTCCACCATTTTTGTTTCTATCCTTTCTGAAAGGTTCTCCAAAGCCTTCGATCATGAATTGACTTGTTGTAAAAGTTTCACCTATTTTCGTTTCGGCGATTGTAAGAATGTCGACATATTTTGAAACCATTAATTTTAATGGTTCAATTTTATTCCTGATTGAGTTAATGTTTAGGTATGCTATTACGAGACCCTTTTTATTTTCAATCCTGATATTCTTAAAAATGTCAACTGTATTTAATTCGCAGGAATCAGGTATTTTTTCATTTAGGTTTCATGGACGTATGATTCGGGGTTTTCATTTACTGTATTTATATTGATGTTATTCAAATTGTTTAAGCTATTATTATTAAGTATATCAAAAGCTTTCATATATTTCTGTCGCGTCATCCTTGTTTAATCAAAATGAAGACGATCTAAGTTTTTGAATTAAGTTCAGTGCCAATTTCCTGTTACCTCTGAAATTAAGATGAAGACCGTCTCTTGCAAGGTGCTGTTCTTTGATGTTTTGCTGCTGTATAATATCGACATTTATGGTTTTGAATTCGTTGATTTTTGTATTGAGTAGTGGGTTATCTTTTCTTTGGATGATTTCCGATATGGTTATTTGGCAGTTGGGAAGATTACTTAGAATGAGTTTGGTTAGGGATACGATTTTTGCCAGAGCATCTTTCACTGAGTTGTTAGAGATATCGTTTGTACCAACGACCAGCATGATCTTGTCTGGTTTTTTCCTGCACAGTGGTTGGATGTAATCATGGAGATCATCAGCGGTGGCTCCCAGGAAACTCCTTACTTTTGTGGTGTATCGATGACTCAGTGTTCTTTCATTAATGTGGGATAACATACTGTCGCCTAGAATTAGCATTGTGTTCTTTTTCCATGGAAATACTTCATACGCCTTTTTCTGATTTGTACTTCCATACGGTACGGAAGCACAATTGTGTTTGAACGTGGCTCAATTTGAATTTAAGACGGCAACATTTGAAGAAACTGTGGTCAAGACAATTAGACTATTCTCGTGTTTTTAAAGATTCTACCATAGACACTGTTCCTAGGAGATCAGAGGTATGATCCCAAGTGCCTTGAGATATCGCTCAAGTTTATCCACTCCCTGCCTCCCAAACTCTTACATTAATAACGTGAAGCCTTGTTTTAAAACTAAAATCAGCAAACTTGATCTTACCGCTCTCTTTTCCTAATCCTTCCCTCTTTTTGTTAGTGATTTGCTTTAGGCTCTTGGGCGTCCCCTAGCAAACGATTTAAAAGGATTTATCATTTGTACATTATGATTAGTGCATTAAAAATAGCTTCGCGTTAAAGGCTTTCCTCACATAAAGATCATCTAGTTTACCAGCTTTTCCGCACTTTCTTATTAGGACAATGAATAACAAAATGGCGGCTTCGAAATAGCTTTCTAACATTGTTTGAACCACGGAGAAATCGAAAGTATCAATGTTTTTGTCGAAAACACAAATATGTCCAGAAAGAGAATGAGAAGCAATGAAAAACTTGGGTTTAGCGTGCTTGCTGCAATTGCGAGAAAGTTTCGTTGCAGCAAGTCTACAACACTTTGTATTTACTTATTTTTACAATAAGACTTCTAGGCCGAAATGGCCCATCGCCAACACAATTAGTTATACTTACAAGTTAACATAATTACAAATTATAAACAAATCTCAGAGAACAGCAAACAGCTAATACAAAGATAAACAGATGAAAGAATGATTATAAGCTAGGAAGTTTACGTTACGAGGATATGCACATAAAGGACTTCCCAAAAGATTCCCGTGATTCAAAAGCCAGCAATATAAAACTAGCTATTGATATCAGACAATCCGTATCTTCTTGACTCAACAACCAAATAAACTTATCACAAAGGTCAAGGGATGATTATCTGGGAAATTTTAAATATGTCATAGATAACAAAAAATTCCTAGCAGTCTCGTAAAGGGGACAAACTAGTAAAAAATGAATTTCGTCCTCCACAGCAATTCTATTAAAAGATTGACAATACGGACATTTTCTATCAATCTTAGGAATAGGATTCTCCCCATTTCTCCCTGTTTCAATCCTGAGGTTGTGAGCACTGAGACGTAGTTTTGCAAAGTTGGATCTTTTCTTTTTGCTAGGTATCAAGTCTAAGTAATGCTTAAAATTATAAACAGTTTTGAAGGATGCGTATGTACTAAACTTTTCATTAATGATAATAAGTTCTTTCAAATTTTCCATAACTTTTGCCCTAAAATGGGAAGACACTTTTGATTTCACGATAGAGGAGTTATCGATTGTATGTATTCTGCAAAGGGTCATCAGGGAACGGGCAATACTGACCCAATTAGAAACACCGGAATCTGCATCATTAATTAACATTTGAAGAGCTTTGTATACATATTAGTAGCTAGTGGCTAGACTGTGCCTCGGCCGGTCTAGAATGGAGACCTAAGATGCCTCCTTCCCTCCACCAGTCTGAGTGTACACCTTAGGCAAGTGTTAGCACACTCCAAGCCTCCTGTGCCTGGGAAATGGTGAAACTATGCCAAACCGTTCTGACAAGAGAGTTACTTTAGGCAGACCTATTTTGTCAACTCGACTGTAGTGCTGGCAAAATGCCCTGGGTAGGAGAACCCACCAGCCCCGTAAGGCAATCTCCTAGTGTTTGGTGACACGAACAAATCACTCTATTCCAACTTTTCTTGAGCTAGCACGGAAGAGTATGGATTAAGAAATCAACATGGAATCAAATGTCGGACCATAGTATATCAGACCAGAGGGGTCCACCTCCGGACCCTCGCCAAGCGATCAGGAGGGTGCATCAGCAACCCCGGACTGGTGTGACAGATGCAACCAGGGGATCATATCAGCAGCCTCGGACTGGTATGATACATGCGACCAGAGGAAAAACAATATCAAGAAGAACATTTAACATCTGCACCTACAATCCACGAACGATCAACGACCTTAACAACCACTCCTTAGATACAATGCTCCATGAACTCAACAACATAAAGTGGGACATTGTCGGATTCTCAGAAACAAACGTTAAAGAAAGCAAGATTGAAATCCACGAAACAACCGGCCACAAACTGTTCTTCTCTTGCAATGAGATTTCACGATCAAACGGCGTTGGCTTTCTTATAAAAAAAACATGTCTTCCTTTAATAGAAGACTATAGAACAACTTCTGACAGACTTGCTCTCCTAAGCCTGAAAGGAAAATTTTCAAGACTAGTCTTCATACAGTGCTATTTTCCAACGTCATCTCACCCAGACGAAGAAATCCTAGAACTCTATGATAATTTTCAATCTATTGTCAACGACATCCCGAAGAAAGACCACCTTTTCATCATGGGGGACTTCAACTGTAAACTAGGTCAACTTCACAATACCTTCCCATCAGCAATTGGCAAACATACCCCAAGTATTGTGAATAACAGAGGAGAACTCCTTGCCCAATTCTGTGTGAAAAATAATCTTCTAGTCACCAATACCATGTTTCAAAAGAAAAAGCTACTTACTTGGACCTCACCTGATGGCAAGACCAGGAATCAAATAGACTTCATCCTCTCACGAAAACCATCAGTGAGACTAAATGTACTAGACAGTTGCGCATTAAATACCCCCGACATATCAGACCATCGCAAGATACTCGCAAAAATCAGATTGAGCTTCTCCTGGCCACAAAGGAAAAAGCCTGTTCCAAAACTTGACATAGAACAACTCAAACACCCAAAAATAGCTGCACAATTCCAGATAGCCTTGCAGAACCGTTTTGCTGGTCTTAAATCAGAAACCGACTCGGAAACCATATACAACACAATATGTAACGGTGTAAATGATGCCTCGAAGGAAACACTCCCAAGGAACACTGACCCCGTTCCAGAATGGATGTCACAGCAAACAAAACTAGCAATCTCCAACAAACACAAAATTAGAAAAGAGCATGGCTCGTCATCTATGCAATATGAGATCGCTAAAGCTGAATCCAATAAACTCTTGAAAAAGGACCAATTAAATCATATTGAGTGTAGTATTGAAAAACTCAATAACCTTCCACCAAATAAGATGTATCATGCCGCATTGAAAAAGCTCAAACCCAAACCTAAAAACAGAAGTTGGGGGTATCAAAGACAGTAACGGAGCCGTTCTTACAAACAAAGATCAGATCCTTGAACACTGGGCAAAGTTATTTGAAGAACTCTATTTTGACAACTAAAAGAAGCTCGTTAGCATAATTGCAACCAGAACCAAAGCAGACCTATATGCATCTTTCCCAATGACACAAGCTGCTTACCAACCTGGCAGAGGAACCATCGAGCAAATATTAGCCCTGGAACAAATAATTGAAAATCCATATAATTTAACAATCCCGTGCATATTACTTTCATTGATTTCACGAAACAGTGTCAACTTTTGACAGTGTCAAATTATCCTGCCTATGGAGCCTCCTAGATAAAACCTCAATCAATGAAAAATACATCAACCTTCTGAATCAATCTTATGAAAACTCAAAAGCATATATCAAAACAGATATCAGAACGTCACGTTGCGTTGATATTCTGAAAGGAGTCAAACAAGGTGATGTTTTATCTGCCATTTTATTCTGCATGTCATGGCAGCACTTGTGCTTCAAGTTGAAAATGAATGCTCATCTGGTTTCTCGATTGGTGGCCGCACTCTTTCCAATCTGAGCTATGCAGATGACATCGCTGTCATAAGTAACTCGCGTCACGAACTACAAGCATTCCTTCATCTCCCAGCTAATTATGCAGCCGACGTCGGCCTGAAAATCAATGTCGCCAAAACCAAGTGCATGACAACCGATAAAATCAACACAAACCTTCCTCTTACCATTTATAACAATCAAATCTCTCAAGTAACTGAATTTATCTAACTAGGCCATAAACTCTCCTCACAAAATGACGGACTGGCCGCCGTCCAGCATCGCATTGGCCTAGGATGGGCAGCCTTTAACAAGAATAAAGCAGCGCTAACATCGAAAAGGATATCATATCATCTGAAATCGAAGATCTTTAACACCTATGTGATGCCGGTTGTACTCTATGGTTTAGAATGTGTTAACTGGACCTCGGAATCCTAGCAAAAACTTGTCGTTTTCCAAAATCATATGATGAGATTCATGACAAACAAACGACTATCTGATCATACGCGAATTGACAGAGACGAAAATAAGTTGCTAATTTTGGAGGGGCGTGGAAGGATGAAAATTTCAACTTTAAGTGAGAAATGTTTCATTCGACCAGTACTGTACCTACCAAATTGATATTTGTGAATAGCCCGAACACCATAGTTCTATTTTCTTTATAATTACCAAAACTTTACTCAATAATTAGCCTAAAGCATAAAAGCCTAAATCTCTAAATTTTGATTAACATGAAACAAACATTTAAACTTACTGTAAGAAGTAAAGCAACATTTAAGCAAAACCAGTATTAGATATACTTAATGATTAGTAGTATTCTTTCAGATCAATTGATCAATTTTATCTAAAATACATTTTTCCGAGAATTTGAGCCTTTTATTTTTGTTCTTGATCGAAGAAAACCACTAACAATTTTCAGAGGGCCAAATGTCTTTTCATTCTTTACAATTGAAATGATGATTTGAGAACAAACTTGTGCATATGCCTGATTCGAAAGATGAAACACTCTTCTTTGATCAAATACTTCTACTGCAGCTTTTGCAATGTGTTCTTGCTTCACAGCAGTTTTGTGATAGGAATTTATGATAAGGACTCAAGGACATTAACAAATAACAGGGGGAGTTTAGCATAAACTCGTTTTTTAAAAGAAGCGTTGAGAATTTTTAGTTCTGAAAGATTCTTAATCTTTTATTGAATTAACTACTCGTAGTTTCTTAAAAAAACTCCCACTCTAATATTTTCTGATCAATGCAGGTATTATTATTCCAAACTGTAAAGTTTCAAGTTTCTTATCCGGAAATTCACCTTGCCTGTTCGTAATTTGATTCAACTCCCGTCAGAAAGAAAGCTAACGGGGCAATTGTGCAATTTGGATCCAGTGGAGACCGGATTCACAATAGAAAACGATTGGATGGGTGTGAGCTACAGCCTGTGAATTTTAATGTTTAGAATTTTAACATTTAAAATAAAAAAACTTCTTAAAATATAAAATTCACAAGTTTGGGCCTAAGAAAAAATTTCCAAGTCAACTGTTAAGTTTCCAACTGTAACTGGATTTTCCAAACTTTGGGGGGCGTTACGCCCCCCACGCCCCCTATTGTTTACGTGCCTGCGAATTGAAGACCTCCTTAGTAAAACAAAGCTCATTCCCATCACATCCACAATAAAAATCAAAAGTCCTGAAACTCTACGGTCACACCAAACGCTGTACTCAAGGCGTAAGCAAAATCTGCTTCGAAGGAATGACAGAAGGCAAGAGAAGTAGAGGAAAACAACGTAAACGATGGCGAGACAACATTAGCCTTTGGACTGGACGAAACCTGATGTCGCTGAACAACGCAGTCAAAGACCGAGACAATTGTCACATGTTGTTGCGCAATCTGCCGTAGGCGGAGAAGGCGGACGATGATGTATGCATATTAATGGGCATGCAGAACCGTTTTAGCTCGTTTAACTGGGATTGCAGATCATCAGCAGAATTAGCTAATAAAACTAAGTCATCAGCATATAAAAGGGCGCAGATATTTCTATCACCTAATCTGACACCGGTAGACACATTATTAATCTTTGAGTCTAATATTTACAAGACCAGCAAGTTCAAAATTCCGAATGAAATTCAAAGATGAGTAGGTCATGGCCGGCCAACCATTTATTAGGCCTAATGGCGTCGACAAGCTGGCGCTGTGTGTGGAGTTATTCGAGAAATGCAATCTTTTATAACCAAAAAATGAACTCCTTTAAAATTTTCTTGAAATTTCATTCTGTATCCAAAGATATTTCGTTGCAAAGTTATTTCAGTCAATTCCATTGCAAAAAGCAGCTGTCTAGAGTCCTGGAGGTCATCCGACAAAGTATAAGATAAAACAAGTTTTATTTATCAAAATAAGTAGCTATTTTTATATTTCTTTTTCATTTATGATTATTTTTGCAATTAGGTCAAATTGAAATCGAAAATCTCAGCCAACAATCATTTCGTTAGGCTCCACTTCTGATGTTCTTTGTGCATAGAGCTAGCAACATATCGCTTTGAGGTGGTCGTCCTAATACATTTGTCAAGTGTATTTCGTGGATCAATGCCCTATGCAGGATTCAGTGAGCTGGGAGCAGAAGAGTCACATTAGCTGACTTCATTCACAACATCAAATTGTCTATACCTGCCTTGCCTCGTGTTAATATCCTTTCCATGAAAGAGAACAACATAGGGGGCTAGGTATTCAGCTAGATAACAAACTAAATTTTGAACATCATATTTCTGAACTTTGCAGAAAAGCTGCATCACAATTCAATGTTTTGACTCAGAACAGAACATTCTTTGACTCAGAACTTCTCATTAGCTGAATCTTTTCAAAATGTTTATAAGATCTAAAATCGCGCCCTTAGGTTTTATACAATGATCAACTCATCTCTTACTGTGGCTAAATTTTGAAGCCAGAAAGGTGCTGTACAATGCATGTTCCCCGCATGAAAGTTCTTTGTATCTAAATTTTCAAGACATTAAAAATCTTAATCCGTCTTTCAATTAATTAGATCCTCTAATTAATCATGAAGATATTCAAATTATTTACAAAATTTTATACCAAACCAAGTAGCCTTTGGCTTTAATAGCCTACACTCATTGGGACCTCAAATTTGGAATGAGCTACCAAATGAAGTAAAATCAACAGAAAATTCCAAAACCTTCAAACATATGATAAAAAAGTGGAATGGCCCAAACTGTAAATGTAATTCATGCCAGTAGATCTTTTAAATTTTAAATTTATGTACATTTATGTATTTATTCATTTACTCGTGTAGTCATTTATCGGTTTGGATTACTTTGTTTTGTACATATGATATTGTATAATGTAAGCTAGAAGTAAATGATCAATGTAAAACAAGTAAACAAACACAGGGGTCTGGTGACTGGGCTCTATTACCCCCCGTCTATAATAGGCTTGGGGCATAATACAGAATTTTCAAACTCTTGTCTTGTTCAGTACACTTAATTGCTTATACCTACCAAATCTTATGTAAATATCTGTTTCTTGCTCCAAAAAAGGGGGTTAGGGGCAATTTTTAAAATGGGTCAAATCTAATTTTTTCAGTGTGACAAAGTATCTTTGTCTGCCAAATCTTTTATGCTTTTGTCACAATTTGCACGATCTGCTTTTATCTGCTCTGCACAAGAAGAATTGTGGATTCGCCTTCGTAGTGTCCAGAGCGCTTGGAACACAGGCCAGGGCATGTCTAGAGCCCAGTCCCCCGTCTCCTTCCTCGATATTGATTGGGATTTCGTCGCCGAAAGCTTGGATAAAGTAAAACAATCTTCTAAGTTATTTCTGCGATACCCAAGCTATACCTTATAGAAAATGGCTGAACAGGAGCTGAACGTTGATAATCTTATTGGGCGACTTCTTGAAGGTAAAAACCTAGATATTTTTCTTTGAAACTAGGACGCTACGTTCAATAGAAACCTGCCCATCTTGAAACCGCCAAACTTTGGCTTTAGGCCGCACTTCGGTAGCTTTTCGGTTGTTATATCCGCCGTAAAACGATAATTGCTACGCCTCTTCAATCACCAGACAACTTCACAGATCAAGGTTAACGTTTTTATTCTTTTTAGATGCCAACCTTTTTCAATTCCGAGAAGCAACCGAAATTGTTGTGACCTAAATTTGCAAACGGTGTCAGTGCGCCATATTGAGTTTCCGTTCATAAATTTGCTTGTTAGAATATACATTTGTTTAAGAGAAGTCCTTGCAAAATCAAGAAGGAAGGCTGTAAAATTAAAGGAACTTGTCTCAGTCAAAGTTTCTTATAGACTGTATTTTTTTGCATGCGTGCCTAGAGCCTAGGTTAAAGTATTTTCCGAAAAATCTTTTTATAGTTCATGAACCATGCTCAGTGATTAAGTCGCAAGCAAAAATATCATAATATCAGATTAATATCTACATACCATATTTTATATTTGTGACCAACGTTTACCTCAATGTTTGATTTCTTCTACTTTTCATTACACCTGTTTGCAATTCTGGGTAGTTTTTATCTTCACATTTGCCAAAAATGGATCATAGAATTGGAATCTTCATGTTGAAATTAGTGTATGCCAAAAATTTCATGTTTTTGTTTCATGTCAATGTCTAACCTATGTCAGCTTAAAAATTACATGTTATACATATTTGACTGTTAGCCTCTCTAGTTTATAAGTTATATACTTGAAACGTCTAGCAGCCAAAAATAAAATCAGAAAAATATTAGCATATGTATACCAGGTTGGAATCCATGGAGATATTAGGTTGAAATTGATAATTTCTTTGTTGAGTTGGCCTTGACAAAGTTGACAGTTTTGCTGCCTGTGTTGTGGCCTGTTTCACTTGTAAGAACCAGTTTTGGCGAAAAGACAATTAACAGTTTCTATGCAAAATCTTGGCAATTGCATTAAGATGTATAGAATATTTGGTGCAGCTTCAAAATTTACTTGCCAATATCTGGCATGATGTTCACATGTAGGTTTAGGTATAACCCATGAACCCACTGAGCCAAAATTGATTACATGCTTCTGGTAATGACTATGCTTTAAAAATTCAAGTCTCTTCTGACTTGTGTAGCTCATCATTTACATTTATGGTAACTCAAAAAATATAAGGAAACCTTTCAGAAACACCACTTGTTATAACCTGCATGTAGACTTTGCAAATTTGAATATATAAATTGTAAATTTTGCTCAACAGCTCAGATTTTCTCTCTCCCTTTATTGCCTATGAGATGTCTCTCCAGAACTTTTTAAGAAACAAATCATGATTATATATTTTTGTTTCATGATATGCCTTTGGGGGTGTCTTTCCATAACTATGGGGTAAGTCTTTCTGTTGATTCAAGTGAGGCATTTTGCCATTGTTTTGTTGGCATCCTTGCAAGCACTTTTGTCTACTACAAATTATTGAAATTCATTTTGAAACAATCATGCCAATGCTAAAAGATTGCAAAGACAATACTTTAGGGATACGGTGATGTACTGGATATAAGAAAATATGCGCTGCATAGACTTTATGATTTCTCTTATTTGTAAAGTCTGCCGGCAGGCTACGTTTGTTAGAATTTTACATACAGGCTACATACTGGTACCTTTAAGAAGTACAGATTTAATGCAGTCACAAGGCATGCACACTAGAATTTTATGGTTGTTTGATACTCAAAGGGACTGTAAAGTGGAAATAAAATGGATCAATAACAATCCCGGAGAGCTGTATTTTGAATTTTTCAAAAATTAGCATGAAAGATATTACTCCAAAGCCAAGCAGAACAAAACTTCAGAACAATATTTCTAACAATCTTTTGGTGGTACAAAACTTGCAAATGGCTTTGAAAAAAGCAAACATTTAGTAAACTAAAGCTTTTTGTCTGACACTCTTCAGAGTTTAAAACGTCAGAACATAGATCGAAAACTCTACGCTAAGAAATATATATACCCAGTTGTGGATCGAAATAGGCCAATCAGAAACACGAGCACATTACTGTATAGGTTGACCAATCAGTGCCGCTTGCCTATTGAGAATGTTACCAATGCAGGCCTGGCCGTTTGAGGCGAGCGATAGCTCGGGCTCGCCTCCACGCTCCCCTTGCAACCTGAGGCGAGCTATGAATTGCTCTCCTAAACAGAACATGAAGGGAGAATCGCTCCCCTAAAATTTCCATTCATTTGCTCTTTTCCTATTCAGAGAACCCTGAAAACGGGTTAATTGGCTTATTTTTGTAACAGCGATTTCTCCCGTCACTGCATTTTTTGCAACTAACTTTTTGCTTGTTGGGCGGTTTTTGTTATGATAAGCATGAACTTCGATCTATTTGGAAAAGGATAGTTAACCGAAAGGTACGTTTGTAGCGATTAGAACCTTTCAATCTTAAGAAAACAGGAATATTTTTGGAAGGAAAGTCGAAGAAATGGGTAGGAATTGTAGATTGGGGATATAATAAGACAGCAGGTCCCTTCCAGCAATAGAAACAAAACTATCCCTCAAAGAGAACAGGGTACTCTGTCTTGCAGATCAAAAACCAAAACATGGAATTCCACTATCGAGCAGCATTTACTGAATATCCCAGATTGAGTGAAAAACTATAACGGCGACATGTTTCGCATTATTGGCAAAGCCTGATCATCGTTCCATCTATGTAGCACTTGGTAACATTTTCAATAGGAAAGGGGCACTTATTGGAAAACCTCAACAGTCATGTCCTCGCATTTTCTGATGGCCTATTTCGATCCAAAACTGGGTATTTTAGCGTAGAGTTTTCCTTCTATGTTCTGACGTTTTATTCTCTGAAGAGTGCTAGACGTATAATTAAGCTTGTTTCAAAATTTGTTTTTTAAAGCCATTTTCAAATTTTGTGCAACAAAAAGATTGTTTTGCAAGAGAATTGTTGTTTTTGTGTTGTGCCAGCTTTACATAAAACGGAGAGAATCTGTTCTTTCAAATACTTCAAGTAAAGGGGGTGCCTAAGTCACGGTTAAAGCAAATACAAATTGAAAGAAGTAAAACATAACACTGCTGACTGAGGCAATTACATTAAGGCAACCGACAGA